TCCCGATGTCGCTTTTTAGCCCTCTCTATGTCGTTTATGAGATTTAACAGCGGGGGGCCCAACACTGACCCCTGTGGAACACCGCTCGTAACGCTTCCCCCTCTGATTTCTCCCCATTTAGCAAACTCCTGCCCTATTTGTCAACCATGCCTCATCCGGGAAAAAATTTCTCCTCCTATTCCATGTGTTTTAAATTTTTCCTCAATAGTCCCCTGATGTGGGACCCGTCAAAAGCCTTTTCTGAAGTCCATTACACAATATCATATTTTTTACCATACACCTCCCAAATACCCTTTTGGAAAAAAAAAATAAATTTGTAAAGGGAGGAACCCCCTTTGGGAAAACCAGTTGAATTCCCCTTGATTTAATTTATGCTTTTCAAGGGGGCTACGAACTGCCCCCGGCAATTATTTTTCCTAAATTTTCCCACATGGGGGTTTGGCTTATTGGGCTATATTTCGAACTAAGGACCTGTCCCCCTTTTTAAAAAAAGGTATCACATTTTCCATTTTCCACTTACTGGCACCATGCCAGTTTGTGGATATGTTGAAAAGATTACCAAAGGTGTGCAAGCTCCCTTTACATTCCTTTAAACCCTTCATACATTCATCAGGGCCTGGGGATTTGTTAGGTTTTAATTTATCTATTTCCAAGGCCATGTCACTTGTACCCAATGGTCCAGTTTATTATCGTCCTGTTTTACATAATTTATCATTACTGGAAAATCGCTGGGATCCCCCCCTGTGTAAAAAAATAGAGGGAAATATGTTTAAAAAATTCTACCATTTTCCCTTTTACTGTCGTGAGCTGACCCGAGGAACTTTGAGTGGGCCTATCTTGTCCCTGATCTTACTTCGTAACCTAAAAAAAATCCCTTTTGGGTTAGTCTTCGATTCTCTTGCAATTTTTAACCTCATAACTCTTTGTTTTTCAAATTTCCCTTTTTTATTTCTCTCTTTAACTGAAAATCGATTTCTTAATTCCCCCCTCTCCTTTTTTGTTTTGCCTATATATGCCCTTTTTGACCAATCAATATTTTAATCTATTGTTCATCCATTTAGGATAAATTTTTTTTTGACCTTTTTTTCCCCTATTTGGAAAAAATTTTGACTGAGCAGCTAGAACTACCCCGGAAAGCTCATATCGCAACATCACCCCCTACCTGCCCCTTATCGGGTCATTCCAGTTCAGCCCCCCAAAGAATTTTTTTCAGTCCTATGAACAGCCAAGCGAAGTAGGGAGGGAGACAAATTGCCATTATTGGGGGAATTCCATGAATTTAAAACTGATGATTTGTGATCACTCCCCCCAAGCTATCTTTAAACCCTAAAATTATTAATTTGTTTCCCTACGGGCAAAACCCAAGTCAAGGGGGTTTATTTCCCCTATTGCTCTGTCACAAACTTTTTTAAAAAAGCAATCCGGATCGTATCAAGAAAGTCACCCGACTCTAAATTTCCTGTCAAATTGCTCAGTCAATTTTCCCTATATTTTGAAATCCCCCCTTTTCACAACATTTTCGTATGTAGATCCTTACAATTTCGTCCCATAAAGTTTACTGCACCCCCCTATCAAATTTGGGCCCGTAAATCACACCCAAAATTATTTTTTCTCCCCCCCCGGAGAACTTAACCAAACGATTCAGTGGCGACGTTCAAATTTAATATCTTTCTAACACAACAATTTAAATTGTCTCACATACATCGCTACTCCACCACCTTTCCTGTTGCCCCGTCAGTGGGGAATAATTTATAGCCTTGTATGTACAATTCAAGGGCATCTCTCTATCTTTCAGTTTGACCAGGTCTCTTTTATAGCAAATATCTATGTTTCCTGCACTTGCAATTAATCTTAGCTCATCTATCTTATTTTTAACACCCTGCATTATATAAAACTTAAGGGGGCTATCCCTTGCTGCCCTCTCTGCCCCCTTTGTTTGCTGACCCTGTTCTATTGTCTTTTTTTTATAACTTTTATGCTGAATGCCTTTTATACATTTACTTTTTCCCAAACCCCAGTGTTTTTCAACCTGCTTGTTTCCCACACACCCCAAACCCATCTCCTTTATTTTAAAATCATAGGGATTTCACCAAAGGCCTTCTCAATGAGTCTGCAAGTGCTACCCCCCCTGCCCAGAGAGATTACCCCATCCCTTGCATACTATCATTTTCCATAAAATTTGTCCATTGTCAATGAATGGGATTGCAATTCCTTGCAGTATCGTCTAGCCCCAATTTTTCACCAAAAGCCCTAACAACCATTCATTTCCTACTCCCCTTCTAGGGAAGATGCTACTATGATTGGGGTCCCTCCCTTAACTTAATGAAAAACATAGCACCCGTACTTATCTCAGCTCTTTTCTCCTCCCTTTCCCCAAAATCTTTCCCCCCAGCACTGAGACAGAAATGGGGGTTGTTCCCCTTACCGACGATATTATCCACCTGTTGACAAGTCCCCAACACCACTCCAGGGGCACACCTATCTCACTTCTTATTCCCATTACAAAAAGCACGTCAACATATCTTACCTGAGAGTCCCAACCACAAAATGCGCTACCTTCATTAGCGGGCAGTAGTACCCTTACCTTCATGGGCCCCTGAAGTAATTCATCCTGGAGAACAAGAAGCATTTTTCCTACCTTTGACTTCACTCTTAACTTTCCTTTTCTGATGGCCCCCCCATTTCTGTGAACAACTCGCCACTTTTAGCAGGTGCTGGACTGCCCCCTGCTGGGAGCCCTTGCACCTCCCCACCTACAGCCTCCTCACAGTGAGAGACAGACTGCACCCCACTGCTAGAAGCCTCATTCCCCACATCTCCAACCACCTCACACTCTCTCCCAGGCCCATTGAGGTGGACCTTCAGCCTCCTAATCTCCTCCTGGAGAAGCAAGACCTCCTCCTTCAACTCTCCAACCTCAATTTTAAAACACTGCAGAAGCAAGCCATGCTTTGTAACCGTCCACGCTAATCCCCAAAGCAGCTCAGGGTCTGTGACCTCACGTGACGACTGACCACTGAACACTGATAAACACCTCAATTACTGGGAGCGCTTGAGGTTCCTAAACCTGTATTCCCTGGAACGCGGGAGGGAGAGATACATGATTATATACACCTGGAAAATCCTAGAGGACTATAACCGAACTTGCACACGAAAATCACTCACAAACGAAAGCAAAAGACTTGGCAAACGATGCAAAAACACTCCCCAATGAAAAGCAGGGGTGTCACTAGCACGTTAAGAGACCATACAATAAGTGTCAGGGGCCCGAGACTGTTCAACTGCCTCCCAGCACACATAAGGGGATTACCAACAGACCCCTGGCAGTCTTCAAGCTGGCACTGGACAACACCTAAAGTCGGTTCCTGATCAGCCGGGCTGTGGCTCGTACGTTGGTTTGCGTGCAGCCAGCAGTAACAGTCCTGGTTGATCAGGGTCTGATCCACCAGGAGGCCCGGTCACAGACCGGGCCGCGGGGCGTTGACCCCCGGGAAATCTCTCCAGGTAAACTCCAGGTAAATGAAAGAATATACTGTATCTACACGTGTGTGTTTGTGTCTCGGCACCACACCCCACACACACACACACACACACACACACACACTACACACACACACACACACACACAACACACACACACACACACACACACACACACACACACACACACACACACACACACACACACATACACACACATAAAATATATTAAGCAAATATCGCGAACAAGCGATACAAGATGCAGAAACAACCACGCAGGGGGTTGAATGATAGCTCTAGGCCTTTGGTGTTTTATGTCTCGTTTTCCCTCCAATCACCATCATTGGTTATCCTAGATTATTTACAAATGTGTACGACCATTTCACTTATGTGTTCCTGTGCATATATAAACTTACTAAGATATTGCATTTTACCATCAGTTACCCCTTGTAACCTTAACATGTCAGAAACGTTTTCGGTTTAGCAGTGAGGTGTAGGCCTAACTTAAAAAAAATAATTTTTTTTTTATTAAGCTCAGTAAGTTTTTTTTAGGGACAGGTACAAATAAGTACAATATCACACCTAGTAAGATGTGTAAATTACCTAACATAACTCCAAAAATTCAGACGAAGTGACGTATTTTCATTGGGGTCCTTGTAATATCTTAATATACCCGGGCCGGGAGAATACCGGCTAATAAAAAAAAATAAAAATTAATATTTAAAGCCTAGTTGGTAGCCAGAATGAGTTGCAAACAAACCATACCACGGGTGGGGTTTGAACCCGACGGTCTGGAGTTTTGTGACTCTCTGACCGCGGGTTCAAACCCCACCCGTGGTATGGTTTGTTTGCAATCGTGTCATTACGATTTCGTGAGTCAGAATGAGTTGTTTTCATTTTCGTTTTGGTATGCAGTTTTGAACGATTTTCTTTAGAGTTCAGATATATATTATTTTAAGTTCATTCATTTAATTTCATCAAGTTTCAGAATGGCTTAGCTTCATAAAATCAACATTAAATGCCAATTATTTACTTAGATTATACATTGTATAAGATATTGAATATTTTCATATGTTAAAGCCTATAGTTATGTCTGTAGTTATACTTATAGTTGTAATCATAACCATGATTTTTAAAGAGGTGGACTGGTAAGCCAGCGGGAGTCCTCGGTCAGATTACCAAAAGCTCCAGCTGTGGGTCATCATACGATTAAGACCGCATCAAGAAACACTTATCCTGTTTCCTGACAAACATACCTACCTACCTATGCAAAGAATTTCAAGGACTATAAGTAAATAAAAAAGTTTATTTAGGCACAGGTACACATAAGTACAATTATTATACATAGCGTAATACACAAATAAACTTTCCTCTCTCCAATGTATGGTTTTTACGTGTATTGTGCCGGTCATGATATTGTCTTTTTGTTCTCTGTACATACTGTGAATTACCTAACTCCAAAAAAGTCAGTAATTTATTTCCACTGGGATCCCTGATTATTGTAGTATGTTACTTTGCAGATAGCGTCTAGAAGACTGGACAAGTCACCACAAGGGCCACCGGAAAGGAAGAAGAGAGATGGTCAGAATAATGTCAACAAATACTCTGAGCTTTACCTGGAGGACCAAGACGAGGAGGAGGATAAGTTGTTTTATGCGAAATCCTTCAAGGAAAAATCCCGTGAGTGATCTGCAGAAAAAATCATTCCCTCAAAATATTGTTTAAATGGCCTACATTATGAGTGGTATATCTCTCAGTGTCTATATGGTGAGAATTTAGCTTAATTTTTGACTAGTGGTGAACAGGCAACATGAAGCCTTAATGACCTTCGTGTCGTAGATGAGAATTTAACCTCAATAACCAACCATATATATATGTCGTGCCGAATAGGCAGAACTTGCGATCATGGCTTAAATAGCAACGCTCATCTTGCCATATAGGACAAGTGAAAATTGTGTATGCAATAATTTCGCCAAAATCATTCTGAACCTAACGAAAAAAATATATTTCACTGTGTTTGTTTAGTATTAAATTATTGTAAACAAATCTAAAATATATTTAGTTGGGTTAGGCTAAAATAAATTGTTCTTGTTATAATAAGGTTAGGTAAGTTTTCTAAGATTCTTTTGGAGCAAAATTAAATTTTTTTTACATTAACATTAATGAAAAAATATATCTTAAACGTATAAAGAAAATTTTAGAAAGGACTTAATTTTAAATGAGTTCTTGCTAATTGACCAGTTTTACATATCGGTACGACATATATATATATAATATATATATATATATATATATATATATATATATAATATATATATATATATATAAAATATATATATATATTATATATATATATATATATAATCACACGTCTCATGCGTCATCATATGTACTAGCAAGAAAGCAATACATGATGCGCCTTAATGCTAGTTAAGGGACCCTGATCCAAACGCTGTATGATCCTTGCGAATTTAACGCTTTCCCTTAAATATAATAATAATAATAATTAATAATAATGGAAATCACCATATGCTGGTTTTAACCATATATCCTCAGAGAAACAAGGCTGTGTGACACGTACGGGGCTTAGCATAAGTTTTTTCTTTTAAATGTAATCATTTTAATGTAATTACACAGTATTTCGCTCACAGGTGAGCGAAGCACTGTGGAACTCAAGCCTAGCTCTTCTATGAGTGCGTTCATTCTCAAAAATGGTCACTCGTATTTCAGGTTGGTACGTACAGACGCCGCTGTTCCATTTCGACCTGTATTCTTGCCTACCAAGGTTCGTGTGTGAGGTGCACGCTCAGGCCTCCCACTCTGACCTCTCCCAGCTCGAGATGGATATTGTTAACCTCTTCAGGTCAGTTGAGGCTGCACTCACGATATCGCCCATACGGATTTAGCACTTATTTTAAAATGTTATGCTGCTACTGCTGTAACTGTTATTATCACTGCTATTACTAATATCATTACTGTTGCTAATATTTTGACTGTGCTCAATAATCACTCAAATACAGAAACTCAGGTGATTGTATATTTCGACTGCCTTCTGGAATCCTCTTCGGCAGAACTAATAATAATGAATATTTTTCGAAGGGCAGAGGCTGGGTTGTCGAGGTGGTGTGGACATTTAGAGAGGATGGAGCAAAATAGGATCACTAGGGCTTTAAATCTGGGTTGGTGGGAAGGAGGGGTAGGGATTTACTTGAAGTTGCCCCCCCCCTCAGGGTATGTGACCCCTGTGGGTTTAGCACTTTCCTGTGAATATAATAATGATATTACCACTATTACTACTAATAATAATACTATTAATGCTACTATTTCTGCTGGTACTACTAATAACATATTACAATTTATTTTGTTTATTTTCAGGAACTACTTGCCATTGGAGGGGCCAGACTCGCCCGTATATAAATACCAGCTGGCTGCCCATATGGGCCAGCTGGCCACGGGACTGGATCCCTCTCCCTGCTACTCTATCTACCCTGCGTGCCCACTCTCCAGGGTACAGGTTATAGAAGCCCTGAGGGGCGTCAAAACTTCGAAAAAGATGTTTTCTTGAGGTCTTCAAACCCTGAGATAATGGAAAGATGTGTATATAAATGTACACTAAGAGGTGTGTCTCTCAGTGTATATACACTAAGAGGTATATGTCTTAGTATATACACCGAGAGTGTACTTTAATAGTTGTTTAAAGTGTTGAATTTCTTGAATATTGTAAAATAGATTACTTGTGTGTGTGTACACACACACACAATAGTGCTGGATGCACCATTGTTAAGGATTGTGTGGTCTAGTGGTCTAAGGCGTCATGCGTTTTCTCACCATAAGGCAGGCCAAAATAGCATGAGTTCGACTCCTTGCCTAGTGACCCAAAGAGAAAGAAAATCCCCAAAGAGAAAATACTTTCATCATCATTCAACACTTTCACCTCACTCACACATAATCACTGTTTTTGCAGAGGTGCCCAGAACACAATAGTTTAGAAGCATATGCGTATAAAGATACACAACATATTCCTCCAAACTGCCAGTATCCCAACCCCCTCCTTTAAAGTGCAGGCATTGTCCTTCCCATTTCCAGAACTCAAGTTCGGCTAAGTTTATAATAACCGATTTCCCTGAATCCTTTCGCTAAATATTACCCTGCTCACACTCCAACAGCTCTTCAAGTCCCAAAAACCATTCTTCTCCATTTACTCCTAACACGCTCACACACGCTTGCTGAAAGTCCAAGTCCCTCGCCCACAAAACCTCCTTTACCCCCTCACTCCAACCTTTTCGAGGACGACCCCTACCCCTCCTTCCTTCTCCAGATTTACACGCTCTCCAGGTCATTCTACTTTGATCCATTATCTCTAAATGACCAAACCACCTCAACAACCCCTCTTTAGCCCTCTGGCTAATACTTTTATTAAGTCCACACCTCTTCCTAATTTCCACAATCCGAATTCTCTGTATAATATTTACACCACACATTGCCCTTAGACAGCACATCTCCACTGCCTTTAGCCGCCTCCTCGCTGCAGCATTTACAACCCAAGTTTCACGACCATATAAGTGTTGGTACTACTATACTTTTATACATTCCCTTCTTTGTCTACATAGATAAAAATTTTTGCCTCCACAGATACCTCAACGCACCACTCACATTTTTTCCTTCATCAGTTCTGTGGTTAACCCCGTCCTTCATAAACCCATCCGCTGACGAGTCAACTCCCAAATGTCTGAAAACATTCTTCCATACTCTTTTTCTCCAATGTGGTATCCAATTTTTCTTTAAACCATTTGATACCCTCATCACCTTACTGTTATCTATGTTCACTTTCAACTTTCTACCTTTACACACACCCTCCCAAACTCGTCAACTAACCTTTGCAGCTTTTCTTTAGTATCTCCCATAAGCACAGTATCATCAGCAAAAAGTAACTGTCTCCACTCCCATTTTGTACAGTCGCCATATTTGAAACTTAACTAGCTAACTGAACTCTGTACCTATACAAAGATTTGACTTTAATCTACGTTTTATGGATTACATTATTCTTGATAGGAGACGTTAGGCTTCAACGAGCCACGTCAGCTATATTGATTAAAGAACTCGGTTATTTACCGGTTATGTGATGCTTTTAAAGAGATAATACGAGACTCACAAAATGTTAGTAACACTGTAGCAAAGTAACCACGGAACGGGTGGGATTTGAACCCACTTGCCTGGAGTTCAACGACTCGTTTGCCATGGGTTCAAACCCCATCCGTTCCGTGGTTTGAGAGATTACTAAAGTTTGCTGAATCTAAAAAAAAAAAAAAAATACATAGGGGACATGTCCACGGGTGCATACAAGAAACACACATCCCCTTTCTACATCCACACACTAATACTGGAAAATGAAGTATGTAAGCAATAAAAATGTCAATAATACCTGATAGATTTAGGCCTTTAGGGAAGGTATTACAATCTTGGCCTCTTATTTGTGCTTACAGGGGGTTTCGAGTCCTGGCCTTACGTCGTGCTTCGTAGGCGTCAATTATATGCTTGTTTATATATGGCAGATCTAACATCAAAATTTTTTCGTAGTGGGAAAGACATCTAAGTAGGCTGATTTGAAACAGATTATGATTTTGTTTGTATTGAAGTTCTAGCGTGATTAGTATCACGGGGAAATGTGAAAAAATGATTTGGTGCCAATAATGAGAGTGCCTTAGATATTGTGTCATATATAAGGTATATAGAGAAAAGGAGGATAACACTAGTAGTGTTGTGATAACTTTTTGGCACTTGGTTAGGGGTGATGTTTGTGAATACTGTGCTGTGGCTTTGATATAATGTGATTTTAGTTGATAAAAGCGGCTTTAGATTAGAGTCACATCTTAGTGATCTTGCAAAGAAGAATTAATAACACAAAGGGGTTTAACGTTTCGCGGTATGAATTTAAAAAAAAACAAGATGTTAGATAGGCTAGTTCTGATGTGTCTCTCCTGCAAGATGATACACCTCTATCATGTACGAGGAATATTTGTAGACGTTTCTCCAACCAGTGGCTTTGTCAGTACACTACAAGGACATACTGTGAAGAATTGTATACAAAACATAGGCCCGGTGGCATGGTGGCTAAAGCTCCCGCTTCACACACGGAGGGCCCGGGTTCGATTCCCGGCGGGTGGAAACATTTCGACACGTTTCCTTACACCTGTTGTCCTGTTCACCTAGCAGCAAATGGGTACCTGGGTGTTAGTCGACTGGTGTGGGTCGCATCCTGGGGGACAAGATTAAGGACCCCAATGGAAATAAGTTAGACAGTCCTCGATGACGCACTGACTTTCTTGGGTTATCCTGGGTGGCTAACCCTCCGGGGTTAAAAATCCGAACGAAATCTTATCTTATCAGTCCCTCGGTCTTGGAGTTGGTGAAGATCACCATAGTCTTGAAGGAACTAAGTTTCTTCATTATATCCTTATATTAATAAAGCCACTGGTTGCCGACACGTCTACAAATAAAGATACCCAGATGTTGCAAATGTGTCTAATTCTTTATCCCTAAATCTCGAGGGGAGATTTAAATCTGGGTGAGAGTCAACATTCATGAGGTGGGGATTATGAAAGTAGTGGACGAGGTCGAGATATTAGTATGCTGTAGTTAGTTGATATGAGTATATAAATATACCAGTGGTGTGTGACGTCACTTGTAAGACAGGGTAAGAAGTTTGAGTTAATCAAATAAAAACAGTACTATTAAGTACAAGGTAAGGTGATACACAGTGAACGAGTAAACAGGATATAAAATGGCAACAAGATTTATACGTAATAAAATAATTGATAGGAGAACAAGAGTCAATGAGCAGAGTATCCGGTGGCAAGAAATTTCCCGTGGCTAGCTTGGTAACGCTCTCGCCTCCCACGCTGTGGTTTAATCCCCAGCACGGGTGAAAACGTTGGGCATATTTCCTAACACCTGCTTCCCTTGTTCACCTAGCAGTAAGTAGGTAACTGGGTCTTACTCCTGGGCGGCTGTCCCTCCCTTCGCTTCTAATGACCAGAGCTTTGGTAAGATGGGAAAGGAAGAAGGATGGGTAAGGATGGAAATATTGGAAGAGGGTTGGAGGGGGGGGGAGAGGTAGGATATAAAAGGTAAGTGGCCCAACCACTTTGGTGTAATTTAAAAAGTGTATTTGAATTGATAAGATTATTTTTTAAGAGGTATAATACTAACCCATCAGAGTCACATAAATATAATAGGTATATAAGTACATGACTCTGAATTGGTTGTAATTATACAAGTTGCAAATGCTTTTTTTTTTTTTTTTTTTTTTTTTTTTTTTTTTTCGCGATTGCACAACGGATATTCATACGACAGGAAAGGCAATATTTTCTGGCCAGTTTATGAGCTCGTGACAATAGCTTCTTAATGGTGGTGTCCAACAATAGTCAATAGCATAGTTTTACATTAGAAAGTTATTTAAGATGTCTCCCTAATTGGGGGCGATGGTTTTTTCAGTATACATAGAAGGGTTCTGGTAGTATCCAATCTTCTTCGTCAGGTAAGTTGCTCAAAATCATGGGTCGAGGGTAATCATCTTTATGAATAAAACGACGAACCCTCTGTGGGAGAGTCATTCTTTGAGTCCTGTGAGGTGGAGTATTGATGGTGTAATCGGTGGTATTTATCACTTGTATAGGATGTTCTCTATCTGGCATGTATAGTTCTTGCATTGTATAAAGTTGTTTCTTTTTTAGGGTGTCAAGGCGTACATTTATGGCAGTGATATCTTGTTGTGTGTGTAAATCTGCCATTTTAACTCTCTCTCCTCCTGGTATTGGTAATAAATCGAAGAGCTCTATTCTGGACCCTTTGTAACCGTAGCATGTTGGTCTTTGTTGTTAATGATATTGGGACACAAGGGTATTCAAGTATAGGTCTTATTATCATTTTATACAGATGTTTTTTGACATGTTGAGGGGCTTGATTGAATCGAAAGAGTCTGCTAAGACCGGCTTTGGCTGTGTTGATCTTTTTAGTTACATGAGATGTTGAGTGGAGCAGCCTGTCTATTTCATATCCCAAGATCTTGTTAGGGTTTCTAATGGCTACAGGTGTACCTCTGATGGAGATACCCCCTTTATCTTCAATGGTTGATGCAAAACATCCTATCGTGCTAACAAGGACCTTGTCAGGATTAGTCGTAATTCTCCATTTCTTCTCCCAATTAGATGTTCGACGAAGTTCAATATTCATTTTTTCTATGACTCTCTCATACTTGTAATTTTCCTGTTACTGGAGTTGATGAGACGACATGAATAACATCATCTGCAAACTGTGTCACAATTGTGTCATTAAACTCTGGTTGAGGAAGGTCATTCACATAAATGTTAACAGAAGTGGACTGAGACAAGAACCTTGTGGGACACCAGCCGTCGGTATAAAAGGTTCTGTCGACTTGCCATGAAAGGTGGGAATGATTTTTCTTTGAGTTAAGAAATTATAAATTACTCTGAGAAAAGTCCAGTTATGGTCTGGTAGGTCAATGAGTTTGTATATAAGGCCATCATGCCATAAGCTATCAAAAGCTTTATAAACATCTCTGGTGGCAATTAAGGCAAGATTGCCCTGCTGTTTTAGACTTGCTACAGTGTCAAAAATAACATTTATTGCATGATTGGTACCTCTATGTGTTCTAAAGCCAAATTGTTTTTTCAGTAAACAAGTGATTAAACCCTATAGTAATTCATCTGTTGGAAATGACTTTCTCAAGAACTTTTCCAGTGACTTCAAGTAAAGATATAGGTCTATAGTTCCCAGGTTGGTGGATGTCTTTATTGGGCTTAGCAAGAAAGATCATTCTAGCAGTCTTAAAAACAACTGGAAAATGTCCTGAGGCCAAGATGGCATTAAAGATATTTACCAAGGACTGTTTGCAATTTCTAGGTAGGTACTTTATTTGTTTCATTGTTATTCCAGAGAGGCCAGGGCTCTATTTCTCATTCTTCCAATAACCTGACTTATCTCTAATAATGTAATAGGTCTAGTAAGCGGGTGGGTATCTTCAAGAGTTGAAGTATCGATGGTAGGTAGTGGTTGTAGATCATCGAAGTTTTCATCTCTCCATTCATTTACTAACTGATAATGATTATTATTAAATTGACGACTATTATTGTGAGAGAGAATTTTCTCCCATACATCACCCATCAAATTAGCCTGGTCCTGTGGATCGTCAAGTTTAATTTCAACATCTTCATCATCCTCATCAGTGAAGGTATGAACTAGGTAGTTAGGAGCCTTGTGCTTTGCCCCTAAAAGTTGTCGGATCTTACTCCAAAATTTTGCTGGTTCACGTTTATATTGATTAGCTTGAAGAACTAGAAATTTCCATATGTCTCTTTTGTGTTGACTAATCATGTTAATTAATTCGTGCCTTAATCGGTGCAGTGTAGCTGCTGGTGGTTGTCGCGTTTGAAGATGCCTTCGACATTCTGCTTGATAATTTCTTAAAGTGTCTCTAATTTCCCTAGTAGGTTTATATTGTTGGTATATCTTCGTGGAAGCTAATTGGCAATTTGCATTGGTAGCTTCAATTATTCGATTGTGCAGGGACTGATTGCATCATCAATGCACTGGAAGGTAGATTTTCCAAGACACAATTTCATCCTCACCCAGATATGCCCTGAAGGGGTCAAATCCTAGGGTGTTAAGATTGGGTTTAGGAGTTACAGGTATTCTAAATGGAGAAGTTTTGTAGTTGTATTATAACAGGGATATGGTAGATCCTACATTTCCACCAGGAGATATACGACAATGAAAGATGTCACAGTCTCTGTTTGTCAGTACAATATCTGGTGTTCCTGGATGAGGTCCAATGTACGATTTGAAGAATGGGCCTTGAAATGACAAGTTTCTAGCTGTCATGATATTAAAGAGTTGTTTTCCTTTTAAGTCACCCAGTGGAATACCAGCTCCACAGTTAAAGAGGGCAGGGTGATGAGCTTAAAATCTCCAGCTAAAATTGTTGGAATATTTCTGCTTAATATCCTATGTAGAGGAATTGACTCTATATATGGCTGTCTCGGGGGAAAATATCCAGTTCCTATTGCTAGTTGTCCATGCGACGTTGTTAGTTCTATTGCAAGAATGTTATCTTCATCCACATGAATATTTTTAAATGTATATCCTAATTTAACCAAGATGGCTACACCACTAAACTGTCCTCTCGATTTCTCCACAGTACAGTATCCACGTAATTTAATATGTTGATCAACTCTTGCAGCTGTCTCGTTCAAAAGTATAACATCGGGATTGTAGTTATGTAGTTCAACTCAAAGAAGGTAACGGTTATTGAAGAAATGTTGAACATTAAGTTGGAAAATTGTAATCCCCATTATTGCTTATTCTTCGCTCGTACACTGCGTTCTGAACGCCTGCAAGTAATGTTATGTGTGTATCTATACTATCCCTGCTGGACTCGTCAATAGGAGAAGGAAACTTTTGCGTGGAAGCTTGTGTATTAACAATGCCATCATCTTCATCTTCACTAGAGGCAGTAATATTAACAGACTCATTAGAATCATTAGAATCGTTAGAGTCGTTAGAGTCATCATCATGAAACTGAGGTATGCTATACTCAGTTTCAGGAAGCAGAGGCTCGTGAGAGTTAATGGGAGACTGTGTAGGCTCCAAGTGAATATTAGATAGGCAAGGTGAGTTACCTTGGGAAAGTTCCTGTTCAACAGGTTCAGCTACAATAGCGGGAGAGTAGGCACCACTTTCTGGGGCATTGTTATGTTCAGGTGTTGACTTTTCGGGTTGAGAAGAGTTGACAACCTGGGTTTGCGAGGAGGGCGATCCCTGGGCCAGGGATGACTTAGGCTTATTATTAGATGTAGAGTATGGTACATACTTCTTGTTATGAGAAGGCTGGGTCATAATGGCCTTCACATTTTCAGGGATAATGATGGGAGTGATCCCATTAGCCTTTAACATATCATTCAAAACACGAGAGCAGAGTTGAATATCACCACCAGCTGTTGTCTTTGGCCACCAAGTACATTAGTTGTGCTCTCATTATATCCCCGTCTGTGGTACCTGAGACACATGAGATGCGACTGAACCTTGTTGTTGTGTCTGTTGTAAGTGAGGGTTAGATTGGGGCTCTCCAGAGGGGCAGAATTCCAAACATTGGAACCATTGGTAGAGACCTGAGGAGTCCCACTTGATCCAGGCAGAGCTGGGAAGGAAGTTTGGGACATGGTTGGCGGTGCCTGGGGAGTGGTCTTCTTAGAAGTGGATAGTTTCTTGGCGTCAAGAATTTTCTGCATTTCCTTTTTTCTTTCAGGACAAATAGCAGAAACAGCATGATGTTTTCCATTACAGAGGACACATTTAGGTGTATTTTTATTGGTACAATCACGATAGGAATGTTGGCCAGAGCAAATGCTACAAATTTGCCCTGTATACTGCATTTGTTGTTTGTTATGACCAAAGGCATAACACTTGAAACATTGTGTCACACTGACAAAACGTTCCATAGAAATTTGGTCAGATGTGCATCTGGTACTGAAACATTTGAAGCCATTTTGACACACAAGTTTGGCCTCCTCAGGTGTCTCGAGTATTAATTTTAAAGTTACCTTATTGTTGTTGTGATTCGAGAATTTGTGTGCTTCTACAGCCCTAAAGTCAGAATTCTCGGCATTAATGTTATCAACAATTTCATTAACAGTGCTTTGTTTCATAAAACTGTTGATTCTGGCCACAAACACAGTCCTCTGAGCTTGATAGCTGTCAGGTGCAACTGGGATAACACCAGAAGTCTTCAGTTTATCCAAGACATCATGCTTTAGGAGTTGAAGTAACTCTTCTTCCGAGAGAGGGAGAGTACTGCTCCAGCGTGGGTTTGAAAAACATCCACTGGAGCAACAGTTGAGTTCGAGCAAATACAATTGAGAATGTCTTTTATGGACATTTGATTTCCATTATACGTAATCTTACACGTATCCTCGCCATGATGCCTGGGAAGGTGCATCTGGCAGAGGAGTTGCTTAACAAAAAGGTATCTTTCCTTAATGTTAGCCTAACATCCTATTTCAGCTGACTTATGAAGGTCAGCTCCTAAGATAGCCTACCCTCGAGTAGTGAGGGAAAGGGCCCAAGGCAAAGATCGGCTGGATTTTAAAAAAACCACACGGGCTACCAGATGGTCAAAATGCCTTGTGTTAACTCGCCAAAGCGAAGTTGCCGAAAAATGAGAAGATAGGACAGTCAGAAGGATAGCAATGTATGTAGTGTGTTAAGTGTGTGGGCCAGTGTTGATGTATGGGTGGGGGGAGGATGGGGAAGGATGGGGGGATGGGGATGAGAGGGGTGAACAAGCAAGCAAGTCACCGCCTTACCCTCTTGATGGGATGGGGCTCGAAGTGACTGCAAGCAAGTCTCCTCTCAGCTCTGGTGAAGAACTACTCAGGAAAACCCAAGTAAATTCTCGAGCAACAGTGTTCAGAGTTGCTCAGCTGAAGAGCGGGAACGACGACGTCTTCTCTCCACGGTGGCTGGGCTCTTCCTTGTATCGTCCCTCCCTATCCCGGGTTATCCTGGGTGGCTAACCCTCCCTACCCAGGGTTATCCTGGGTGGATAACCCTCCATACCCCGGGTTATCCTGGGTGGCTAACCTTTCTCCGGGCTAAAATCCCAGCAAATCTTATCTTACCTCCTGTTAATGGAGATGGGTGTTCCAGAATTACTGGTAAGAAATAGACTTCTGGTGTAACTCATTAATGAGGAAATCTGTGCAACCCGTCCAGATTAAACCGTACCACGGGTGGGGATAGAACCCGCGATCAGAGTCAAAACTCCAGACCGTCGCGTTAGCCACTGGACCAGCTAGCCACAATAAGATTCGTCCAACTAGATATATTTCTACACCATAGGAAGGTTAGCATAGGCACCACTGTGACCACAAATGCAAGTTTTTTTTTATTGTCGCTAGCTGGTCCAGTGGCTAACGCGACGGTCTGGAGTTTTGAGACTCTCTGATCGCGGGTTCTATCCCCGCTCGTGGTATGGTTTGTTTGCAATCGTGTCATTACGATTTCGTGAGTCATGTCCGTCCAGATTATTTAAGAGACGCTGGTCTGGTGTGAGCTTCTCACATCCTCGTTAATATGAGAGTATTTGTTGAGTAAACGTCTGCTCAGTGATTTGTTGAAATACTTAAATGATTTTAATAATGTAGCTTAATACTGTGTACAAATGGAAGACATGTATTTAGGCTGTTAATAAGTATTTATAATTTTACACCAACAGAAGTTTATGTAAGCAGGTAAAGCTTATTTTAGCAGGCAAAGCTAATTTAAGCAGGCAAAGCTAATTTAAGCAGGCAAAGCTAATCTAAGCAGACAAAGCCGATTTTAACAGACAAAGCTTAAGCATGCAAACCTTATTTAAGCAGGCTAAATTTAGACATGCTAAGCTTATTTAAAAAAAGTTAAGCTGGTGGTGTGGCCCGCCAAGGTGAGTGATGTAAAGCTGGTTTCTTTGTTTCTTGATCCATTGATTTTGAGCTGCCTCTCTTCACTTGCATCAAACTCCATTATCACCCATTTCTCAGACGCTGTTATAGCCCTTGCTATTTTAGTGCTTCCATAGGAAATAATAATGTACATTTATATGCTCTTTGGTTGCCATGACTACACACACTCCTGCACACTGTCTTTCATATATAATATTTTTGTATAGAGGATCGTGTTTATAGCTCTCACAAGACTTTATGTAATACTACATGTCTTATTTTATGTATATATCAGAAATTTTTTTGAAGAGGTTTAGGGCTAAAACTAACATTTTTTCCATCACTTTTTGTAATAAGCATCGATATTATTGTTATATTTGGGATTACCGCTAGACCCGTAGGGGTGAGACAGCCTTGGGTAGCGAGAGACAATCAGGCTTGATCCAAGAAAGGGAAGAACAGGTTCAATTTCCCGAATCAAGAACCTATCACCAGCATCAAGGAACCTCCCTAGACCGGTTCAACAATAGTATAACTATATACAGTCTATATACAAAATAATACTGAATATATTTCAAAGGGATTACGATTTAGAAAATGCTAAATAACTTTTAAACGGGTGCAGAATTTTCAAATGAATATTAATTTAAAACAGTATGAAACTGCCCAGTCAGGTTGTTTTAGATAATTAGTCTCCAGGTGGCAATATAAATACAAATGCAGTATAATGTGATCCTTTATTGACTACGTTTCGCCCACACAGTGGGCTTTTTCAAGTCACAAACAGAACAGTTCTGTTTGTGACTTGAAAAAGCCCACTGTGTGGGCGAAACGTAGTCAATAAAGGATCACATTATACTGCATTTGTATTTATATTGCCATTGTGTCGGTATTTTATACCATTTATTTCCATAGTCTCCAGGTGACTGGCTCAGGTTACTTCAGTAATAGTGTTGAGTAAATCTGGAAAACTGTTGTGGTTGTCGCAGGAATAAGTGTGGTCAGTAATTTTCAGTTTATAGAAGTTGTTTGTAAACAATAATCAGGTGAATTAACTGTCCAGTACCATATGTTTTATGACCGTTTATAGTGATATTTTTTTTTATATTTTATTTAAAACGTAATATTACAAATTTATAGTGATATAGCAGGGTATATAATGATATGGCAGGGCATATAATGATATAGAATGACCCTGGTGGGTTCTGTGCATAGTTCTCATTGTAATAATAATGATATACAATGATTTATAAAAAAAAATATTGAATGTAAGGATCCTTCGATTGGGGGGAAGCGGGGAGTGTCTTCAAACAAGGCATTAGAGCTGTTTTTTCCTCCTCCTCGGATCAAATCTGATTACCTACCATTATCTAGGCATTGTATTACCCTTGCTGGCTTAGCGCTTCACCATAAATAGAGTTTAATATAAGGTAATGCATCGTTCTACCCAAAAATGTCTAGTCCAGTGTGGGTCAACTTAAGACAATTTGTTTCCAGAATATTTACAAAACAAGGACAACGTTATTTTTTTGTAGTTTACATGTAAATACAATATTGTAAATGACAAGACAAAATAAAGATTTAATTAAAAATAATGAATTTTGAATTCCCTGTTTTACGTTTCTAATACGATTCTTGTCACTTCAGATTAATAACAGAGGATATGTACACTGAGATATACATTCTCCTCAGTGTATATACCAAGAGATATTCTCCTCTCAGTATATATACGCTGAGAGTTACATTTTCCTCAATGTATATATGCACTAAGAGGTACATTCTCTTCAGAGTATATACATTAAGAGGTAAATTCACCTCAGTGTATGTATACACAGATGCATCTCCATTGTATATATGATGAAAGTTTAATCCCAATTTAAGAGATTACAGTGTTATTGTCTGGTGGGTAATAAGTTTTGTGTAGCCTTAATGATCCCTGTGTAGTCGATAGGCTTTAAACCTGATAATCTATATTTACCGATATTTCATCTTTCAGGCGCTGAAGAGTGAAATTCTAGTACACTACTACCATCACTAGGATCCTAGTACACTACTACCATCACTAGGGATCCTAGTACACTGCTACCATCACTAGGGATCCTAGTACACTACTACTATCACTAGGATCCTAGTACACTACTACCATCACTAGGGATCCTAGTACACTACTACCATCACTAGGATCCTAGTACACTACTACCATCACTAGGGATCCTAGTACACTACTACCATCACTAGGGATCCTAGTACACTAACATCACTAGGATCCTAGTGCGCTACTACCATCACTAGGGATCCTAGTACACTAACATCACTAGGGATCCTAGTACACTACCATCACTAGGGATCCTAGTACACTACTAATATCACTAGGGATCCTAGTACACTACCATCACTAGGGATCTTAGTACACTACTACCATCACTAGGGATCCTAGTACACTACTACCATCACTAGGGATCCTAGTACACTACTACCATCACTAGGGATCCTAGTACACTACTACCATCACTAGGGATCCTAGTACACTACTCCCATCACTAGGGATCCTAGTACACATACTACATCACTAGGGATCCTAGTACAACTACCATCACTAGGGATCCTAGTACACTACTACCATCACTAGGGATCCTAGTACACTATTACCATCACTAGGGATCCTAGTACACTACTACCATCACTAGGGATCCTAGTACACTACTACCATCACTAGGGATCCTAATACACTACTACCATCACTAGGGATCCTAGTACACTACTAACATCACTAGGGATCCTAGTACACTACATCACTAGGGATCCTAGTACACTACCATCACTAGGGATCCTAGTACACTAACATCACTAGGATCCTAGTGCGCTACTACCATCACTAGGGATCCTAGTACACTAACATCACTAGGGATCCTAGTACACTACCATCACTGGGGATCCTAGTACATACTACCATCACTAGGATCCTAGTACACTAATATCACTAGGGATCCTAGTACACTACCATCACTAGGGATCCT